CTGCGTCTCGTAACGGCGCACACGCTCGTTTTTTTTCCGCGACGCGCTAGCTCCACCAGTGGCGAAACGGCGATGGGGGGGGGGGGGGGGGGTCGCACCCGCCCCCCCCCCCCTCGGCCGGCGTGTATGTAGAAAACAAATAGGTCCGGCGAGCAGTAGCGGCGGAACACCTTCAATTAGGGGGGGGGGGGGGACGGCACTGCCGACTTTTAGTCCCATTCTTTCCATGCAACGCCCATAGGGCTACTGTTAAAAGGCCAAAATTAAAGAGGGGAACGGTGCCCCGGTGCCCTCCCCATTCCGCCGCCTATGCCGGCGAGGGTACAAGAGATTATAATGTCATTGATCGACCGCGAAAAAAGAATGTCCGGGACACAAATGATATGGAATGTTTGAATTCTCGGCTCCCAAATACAATAGCTTCACCTGACAGACCTCATCTACCTGACTTCAAAAGTTTCTATCATCCATTCCATGCATTAAATTCGTCAATCACTTGATGGTCTGATATTTCTTCATGGTTTTATTGAACCACATTTGTGGACGAATGTTTGCGGAGACGAAGATAGCGGAGACAAAGGTTTGCGGACGAAAATATGCGCAGACAAAGATTTGCGGACGAAGATTTGCGTGGACGAAGAAATGCGTGGACGAAAAATGCGGACGAAGATTTGCGGACGAAGATTTGCGGACGAAGTTTTGCGGACGAAGATTTGCGGACGAAGATTTGCCGGGACGAAGATTTGCGTGGACGAAGAAATGCGGACGAAGATTTGCGTAGACGAAGAAATGCGTGGACGAAAAAATGCGGACGAAGATTTGCGGACGAAGATTTGCGGGGACGAAGATTTGCGGACGAAGATATGCGCAGACGAAGATTTGCGTGGACGAAGAAATGCGGACGAAGATTTGCGTAAACGAAGAAATGCGTGGACGAAAAAATGCTTGACGAAGAAATGCGCGTACGAAGAAATGCGGATACGAAAAAATGCGCTACGAATATTTGCGCTTACGAAGAAATGCGAGACGAAGTTATGCGACACGAATAAATGCGCCGACGAAGATTTGCGGACGAAGAAATGCGGACGAAGAATTGCGCGACGAAGAAATGCCATACGAAGATTTGTCCTGGAATCGTCTTACAGCCAGTATGGAGCACTTAAGAATTTGTGTCAAAGCTAAAATAAAACAGTTTCACTATCATTCTGGTATCACAGCTCTGATTACAGATGCATTCCAACACATGGCTTAACCCTCGCCGGCCGAGGGGGGGGGGCGGGTGCCGCCCCCCCCATAGGGTTTTTTCGCGATAGCTCCGATCACGCTGGCGATAGAGAGCTGAAACTTGGCATACCTGACCTTTGATTCAAGCCGCATCTTTTGACACCAACCGCATTTTTGGGTCAGGTCAGGTCACTGACCTATGACGTCATAAGTGAACCTCTGCACGGTCTCCAGATGTCGCAACTTCGCAACGCCCTCACTGCCAGAGGAGATGTCACAGGGAAATGAAACTTGCGGGATCTAGTATCCATTATGAGTCTCACAACTTGTATATCTCGGATTTTTCCTAAAGGTCATATGAGGTCAGGTCATTTTCGTGACCTCACCATTATAAGTCAATAGGGAAAAATGAAAACTGCTATTCTGGCGCCGGGAACGATCTGCAACTATCTCAAGCACACAGAATCGTGATTTGGTGCACTCCTTGCAAGGTTAGATGCGTCACTTTTGCAATGTTGACCTTGCGTGACGTCATTAATGACGTCATCAAGGTCATATTAGTTTTTCGTCAATAACTCTTGATCAAATTGAGCTAGCGAGTCGGGAAAGCCACCAATGGACTCAGGAAGACCTGCCGAATCGAATGATATGCGACATGACCTCTTTCGACCAACTTCGTGACCTGGGGGGTGCTGACCTGACCTTGACCTGCGGTCAACACCCCAAGTTGACCTGACCCGGACAAAAAGTATATCATTCGACGCGCCTGAGCGAGGCGAACACGATGCTGCCAAAATCGCGGCTCTGCGGCCGTTTTTTTGCGAAGTTATTCACCAAAAACTGAACCGTACCTTGGGGCACTTGACCTGACCTCAGAGGTCACCGGTTGACCTAGGACCTTAAAATCGGGTACCAATCTCTGCATCTCGTAACGGCGCACACGCTCGTTTTTTCCGCGACGCGCTAGCTCCACCAGGGGCGATACGGCGAGGGGGGGGGGTCGTACCCGCCCCCCCCCCTCGGCCGGCGCGTATGTAGAAAACCAATAGGTCCGGCGAGGGTTAACAGTGCTGAGCAGCTGTGCCAGTTTTTCACTGTGCAAGGAAATATGAGGCACTGGGAAACATTCAGCAGATTCCTCAGAAAAATACTCAATACATTGAGTGAGTAATGAGCTGAAAATGTGTCAGGTGAAGTATGAGCCCTCCACTGCTCGCATGTCACTTCTGGTCCTGCATCAATTGATCTACTACATTTTTAATTTAGTGCAAAGGTATTTTACAAAAAATTTGCTTCAAAATTGAAATGGAATTGGGATACCATAGGCTGGGCACAAAAAGAGTGAAAATGATGAGCTTTAAATACTTCTAACTGTATCACAAAGGATGCACATCACAGTGAGCATGTGGTGGTAGGGTCCTTGCCATTCATGTAATAAGGTACCTACCCTACCTATGTAATGTATTAATAGGTACCAGCAAAACAAAAATAGCCATTTAAAATGGCAACCCTTCATCTAGCCTCATTTTTAAGAACCTATGCTACGTGCAAATTGACATTTGCACTCTGTGCTCAAAATTGAATAAACCCCACAACATATTGTCACAAATCTTTCATCAATCAACAAGCTGGGGGAATAATAAAGCAGTTGAACTTCCCCATAAAGTGCTGAAGGCAGTGTGATGTGACATGCTGTGGATCTGAAATGACCACCAATCAATTTGTCTGAAACCGACTATCAAAGCAGCATTTTTGATCAACAGAAGAAATTTGTCTGGCAGGGCAGGAGAAGCATACAATTACATACCTACCAATTTTTGACATTGTGCAAATAATATGGAGAACAAAGGTTGGAATCCAACAGGTGGTAAGAACTAAGAAGTTACAGTGCATTCTATCAACATTCAGACAAGATATTTGGATATTTCAGCTCTGTGTCAACTGTCAAGATGGAGATGTAGGTTCAAATCCGGTATTTATTTACTTTAGGTCCGCAAAACAGAGGGGTAAATAAAAGTCATTCACACGATACTCTAAGACCTCCTGATTTCATTTCTGATACTTATTTCTTCTAGAAACCAATTTAAAAGCACCAGTACACTAGTATCATCAGTATCACCACCAACGGCCCCACCTCCGACCGGAACTGCACGTGTCTGCGCGGCGCACCCGCTACAAATGGTCCAACCAAGGTTGAGCGAAATCACGGATGATAATAAATTGTAAGGAAAGTGACGTCAAAATAATCGAGGCGGAGCGGTGCAGTGCCGAAGGCAATGCCTTAGGAGAGATTACAGGCAATGGTAAGTCAAATATTTTTAGGTTAAGTGGTTGTGTATCTGGCTTCAGGCCGAAGGCCTGAAGCCTGATGCATAACCACTTAACCTAAAAATATTTGACTTACCATTGCTTGCAATCTATTCATGCAAGTCACTTTTTCCTTTTCCCCCAGTAGGCAAACATCAGTAGGTCAGGTTAGGTAAGGTTTGGTTATGTTCTGATCATTTTCTCATGCTCTATTACCTTTGCTAAATATTTTCTCTTTCTTATTCACCGTTTTTCTTGTGCTTTGGTATTATGACGTCATTTTCATAACGTCAAAAACTAATGAATATCAGCATCATTTTTTTCTTTTATAGGGTAGCGTTGTATGTTTCGTTTTTGTCGCGGAAGCGTGCTTTCTTCAGTGTGTATTGTACAGCAGTGCGGTGTAATGTGCTGGGGTTTTAGTACCTTATTTTACATTTTTGATGCATTTAAGCATCATATCTGAATTCAGGACATCAAATAGTGTAAGAATGTGCATTTTTTCTTGTTAAAATAATATTGCGGACCTAAAGTAAATATTTACCTCAAATCCCACTGGTGGCGACAAATTAGGTACTGTGCCAGCATCTAAGGCATTGCAGCATTCTCAACAGCAAACAACTTCAAAATAACACAAAGATAAACATTCTGGGCACTGTTTCACCACAGCGAACTGAGTGCAGCGGTGCATTGAGGTTCCATTGTAGCATTAATACAATCAACCCTGATGTTCGCAATGCTGAAACATCGAGCCGAATTCGTCTCAAACAAAACACTAATACAGCAGCGCACAAGGCTATATAAACCAAACGGCAGCGCAGCATGCTGCAGTGCCAGGCAGTGAATCAGGGCACTGGTGGATCTACCCAGTAAATGAAGGCCAAGAAATAACACCAAATGGCGAATTGAAAAATGTAAGAATCAAACAAATCTTTGATACTCATAAACCAACCTTTTCCTATTATCGGGTGGTAATATTGAATGAATGCTTCATTAAGGTTAAATGAAATGCACCAGGTTTCCGTGATGATTGGTTATATAAATATATAATCTACAGAAGCTCAGCAACTGACATAAAAATCACACAGGATTACTATAGGTATATTCCAAATTCAAGAGTTGTGTGAGAAGAGAAATGTGTGAACCATCTCGCACAATCAAAAAATACCAATCAGCCAAAGAATAATTTATTCGAAAACGTCACAAAAACTGCGATGAAAACGAGTCTTTGATTTGGGCATTGCGTGTAGTGTTTGTCGTATTGAGTTCAAATCCGATCAGAATATAAGAATGTATTAAGCGTATGGACTCAAAAATTGATAACAAATTACCAAAAATGCAAAAATAGCAGCGTTTTGGCCATAAGCTATGAAAACAAATGAAGTTTTATCAAATTTTGATGACGTCAGGTATAGAACCAATTAACAAATCAAAACTATCTTAAATGCATGTTATATTATTTACCCATTAAAACAACATACTATAATGCCTTGCTATTAACAGCTTGAATGATTTTGAAAGAGTACTCACGGCAATCGCAAATAAAATAAAATGTTGTTGAAGCATTTATAGTATTTTGGTCAATCTGTCTTTGTCGTTATGGCTTTTCGTGATTTTTATTTTGATTGTTGTTTCGCACGGGGAATAAGTTTTGTCCAGCAACTTCGACAAATCCCGCGTATGTGTTACAAAATGACCAAAATGATTTAGGCTACTAAATTGTTAGAGTGTAAATAAACTCAGGAACCACGTGCCCGCACGTGCTCTACGCTTTCGCGCCCGAGAACAATTTCGGGGTTCTTTGTTTCTCAAAGCTCTCAAAGCATCGGGGAGGTGAGCTGTGACGGCGTGCTGGAGCGGGGAGCGTAAGTAACTTCCTTGTCGTTGCTCTTTTTACCAACAGTGGCTAGGGTCTGGCTGAACTCAAACTATGCGTGGCAATTGTTGGCATTTTAATTTATATATCAATATGTCTCATTGCAATGTGCAATTGGTACAGATACTGATAAAGGAATCCCGATTGGGGATCCGGTCCTCGACCCTCTGCCCGACCCCGGACACCCGGCCTGTCTCCCACCCCAAATTGGGGGAGCATTCTGGTCTAGGGGTAAGTTCCTTGCCTCTAGGTTCAGATTCGGCCATCCGGGTTCAGGTTTGATTGCCTGGCAATGTACATTGCATTGTCACTGCCTGACTGGTGACTGCTTGGAACAGTGTGAGAGTTCCAGTCAGTACACCTTATTGTTATTCTGCTTGATTTATAACATTCATTTTCTGAAATAATTGGTAAAAAATCACAAATAAAATTATTATTAAGTAATAATCATGTAACTTGATATCGCATGATGTGCCATCAAGTGTGCAATAAAGTAGAAACCCTTGTTGTAATATGAAATGTGAATAGGATACCTAGCCATAATGCAGGCATCAAACTTGTTTTTTTTTTGTAACCAAGGACAGGTGCTATACCCAGATACACTTTCAAATCAAAATCAGACCAAACCAAACCAAACCTAACCAAACCTTGCCTTACATTAACCTCAATGAACAACCTAAAGCCTACAACCTACACAACCTAAAATGTACTACCTAAAACTTGCCTAAAACCTACAACCTACAACCTAAACTTGAACTCCAGTGCCTTTCCTTGGTTGCAAAAAAGTGTGGCTCCTCTTTTAGTACTACAACGAATAGTTCTGTTTTAGGGATTTTATGTGATCACACTTAACAATTAATAGTTTTTTTGGCTCTTGTTGACATGGATAGGGGAGAAAATATGTGGCAACCTATTGCATCTTAAGCCACCTTTGGTCTATTGCATCTTAAGCCATGGTGCCATTGTGCTTGCGCATCATCAACTTCAACTTACTGTTGTTGTGTTGGCCATTGGGCAATGCAGAGAAGAATCCTGACCATATGCTCTCATGGCCTCTGGCTAGACTACAAAGCATGGCAACCTCAATAAATGATATCCAGGCTGCATTCCTCACTGTGTCAGCTGGCAAGGGTTAACCAAACAGTTGTTGGTTTTAATTAGCATAATCACTTGACACCAATTATAATTATATCTATAGTATGCTGTCACATGCTCTGATGCACAATTGTTGCCAACTCTCCTTGACCGAGGTCATTTATTTGCAGATCTGAGCCTGCCATCCAAATCTGTAAGCGATGGAGGTTGGCGGTATGATTCTGGTCTGCATCGGCCTGGCTGTGCTCATTATAGTCACCCTGCTGGTGTTCCTCGGACACCTCGGACTCTTCAGCGAGGTCGAGGTCAAAACGGGCGCCCCGCCGTTCCGCGAACTGACGGTCTGCTACAAATTCAACCGCGGACCCTACAAGGGCTGCGGCCACCTCTTCACGGAGATTTACAGCATCGCTCCGGAGCTAAAGACCATCGGGTTATATTACGATGACCCAGAGGCGGTGAGTCTTTCTCCGTTGTATCCTTTTTGCTTACTTAGGTTTGGTGAATTAATCTGTATCTGCAATGTATTACAATATTACATCTTGCTATTGCTAGCAGTATTGTATTATCCCTCAGATAACGTGACGCTATTTTTGTTGTTTGCATGTTTGTGCCCAAGAACCGGAATGTCGTTGGAGTGAGATACCTGCAACCGAGCTTTTACTCGTTTTCGGTTCGGTATTGACCGTGTTCCGAATCCCCCCTCCATCTCCCCCTCACTGTTACGGGTTACCCCGCGGCCCCTGTCCCTGACGCTCCCTGCGCTCAATCGCCAGACCGGCCCCCATGTATCATCTATGTTTTCGCCGTCCCTCAGGTGAGCTCGCACGAGCTGCGGTACGCGGTGGGCGCCATTCTCAGTGACGGCGTGACGCCGGAGCCGGCCGGCGTGCGCCAGCGCGTCACCCAGCACGGCTTCCAGGTGGCCACCTTCCCGGCCATCGAGCACGCTGTGCTGGCGTCGTTCCCATTCCGGGCCACCTTCTCCATCGTGCTGGCCATCTGGAAGGTCTACCCGGCGCTGAAGGAGTACATCAAGGTACGATACTGGGTGGAGAAGTCTGGGTCGTAATGGCTGATTCATCCACATGCGGCGAGGAGAGTATGAGTCAGATGTGCATTCCAGTCTGCATGTGTCACAGGGGCGTAGTCCGATCTTGTTACAGCTAGTTGATGGTCGGACCCGTTTCCTCTTTAACTAGTATCGAGCTTTGTCTTGTACTCCGTCTCTTACACAATATGACACTTGTCCGGTGTCTCACTCATCTGACCGATCTCTTAGTCTGCGTTTCCCATCGTGTCAAACCATTCTCAATAACCCAGTCTGACCGACAAAGCGCGCATTCTGTCCCACGCTGTCTTAACCAGTGTCCCCATACGCAGACTGACAGGTCCCATAGTCTAACCCAAGGTCCTAAAAACAGTCTGTTCCTTGCCCCCACACGCACGCAATCTGACCTGTGACTCTCCAGTCTCCCACGGAGTCTGACCCGTTTGCCGCTCCGTCCCACAGAAGCAGAGTCTGTGCGCGTGGCCGATGATCGAGCTGTACGACTCTTCTGAGATCCGGTTCGTGGCGCCGCTGACCCGTCAGGAGGATTTCCTGGTGCCTGAGGCCACCGAGGAGCCGGCAATGGACTCGGACGGGCGGCTGACCACTGAGGATGAGGGAGAACGCTCCGGCACTGAAGGTATGTCAACAGTGAACGGTTCACGACTGTCTAGTGCCTGTGACGTGGGGCTTCGAGGGTCGGCGGGAGGAGGAGGAGTGTGCTGGACGAGAGATAATAATGAACTTACCGATGAGTAGAAGATGTGTGCAAAGGGTGAAAGTGGAAGATAGCTGATGGGTGTGGTCAATGTTCAGCTCGAATGTAAACAAAGCCTGGAACAAGTGTTTTGGTTTAGCGATTGTCACTTGACTTTAGAGTGGTGACAACTGCGGATGCATCAAACAACCGTGTTTTGTATCGTAGCGTGTGTAGCGTTACGAAACCTTTTTTCTGCTTGATAGTCGGTATCATCTAACGGCTGTGTCTGACGACAGGCGGCGGCGAGCGGCCGGTGGCGGCGGCTGCCAGCGGCGGATCCTCGGGCTCCTCTTCGTTCGAGGACCTCGGCCTGACTGCCGGCGGTGACGCCCGGTAAACACACCGTCCCGGACGTGTGTACCGCACCTCTGACCGGGTCTAGCGGTGCGCATCGGCCCATCCGCGGCGCCTGTCCGACCTGGGACCGCTGGGAACGGATCTCTGTCTTTCCGCTCGGCTTTCCACGGCCGCTGTGAGCGCGGCGTCAACTCGCGGTGGTGGGTGCTCGAGCTGCGACCTAGTGCAGTTAGTGCACTGAGGAGCTCGTGGAGCTGCTTTCATCAGCGACTTTGTGCTTTCAACACCAGAAAACATGCCCCGCTAACATTCCGTCTTAGAGTGCAATTGCGATGATAATCTATGAAAACATGCTACAGCGCCTACCGCGCTATTTTCTGCCATTCCCATTCCCCGATCTGTTGCCGACATTACCATAGTTGCTGCTGAAGCTGGTGGAGGAGCTCTTTATTCCAAGAAAATGTCTTCAAAAACAAAGCTAGGCTTTAACATAGTGAACAGCCTAACAACAGGATACCTAACGACATAAAACCCTGTAGTTACGCATTATTGCATCGCTTACAGCCCATATTCAAGCGCCGGCGAATCACAAGTTTTACTGCTGCTCGTTTTCGTCTTGTGTATCGACATCATCATGTAATTGTAAAAGCTGAAGGCCAGTAGTGATCGGCCTTGCTTTAATAAAGCCCTAGAGAGATACGCTATTTTTAATTCGGCGCTCGACTCTGTTCTGTCTACACAAGGACCTTTTAGTTCTCAGTGAAGTCACGAAGGGTTGGTTGGTTGGTTTGGATTATGCACCAATCGCTAACCGGAACTCTCACGCCGTTCCAAGCGGCCAGGTTGCGGCAATGCCTCGTCCATTGCCCGGGAATTACGAAGTCACGAAGGGACCTAGTCAAGATATTTCCGCAATGAACGAGGGGAGGGGGAGGGAGATGAAGAGTAACAAACTACGGAGACTTTCTTTTGCGAACCCTGGGTATCCGACTTGGCTACCAGGCTTCCTTAAACTTCGTTATTATTTTCATTTCTATCCGCCTCGAAACTGCAAAGTGTTGTCAGTGTTTTGGTTTGCGCGCTGTCTGCTGAATGTCTATCACCACATTCTGTCAAAACATCGGGTACCCCCTCCCCCCAGCTCTATCTGATCCGCTCCGGTATCTCCCCTTCAAACACGACCTCTACCCCACTCCAAAAGCCAACATCAGCCAGTCCAGTATATTCCTGTTTCACTTGACAGATAACAGACCGGACCGGGGTCGGACCCACTGACGACGAGTCGTGACCTCTGACGGGTCACCGCGGGGGCGCGTGGCGCCTAGCTCAGGTCCTTGTCGAAGATGTACTCTCCCAGACCGTTGCCGCAGCGCTTCAGACGGGTTATCATGGCGCCGATCTCCTTGATGGACTCAACCTGCCGGAAAATGGACGCGAGTTAGATGGGAGTCAGCGAACAGATGGCGTATCATCATTGGTCACGAGCTTCAGTTAAGTTTGTCGTTCAATAACCAGACCCAGACGCCTGGGCGGTCCGCATCAGGAGTTATTGATCGAGTCTGGCCTTGCCCTTGCCATCGAACCGATAGAGAAATAAAATACGACAGACAGCATTCGAAGCAAATAAATGCTGTTTTCGGAAATAGCACAGATGCTTCACTTCCACGGCGGGCAAATTACATTCCCTACTAAATTGACATTTTATGACGGTGGCATACGTTCCCCGACTCAGAGTCGCGGTATGGACTCGAACCATACCTGTTCGGTGAGGAACTCGCTCTCGATGAAGTCGCACATTTGCGGGTCGGTGTGCGAGTCGGCCACCTTGTGCAGGTTGAGCAGCGCCTGGTTCACAGACTTCTCCAGCTCGAGGGCCGCCTGGAGCGCCTCCAGCGGCGAGCCCCACTGGTCCTGAGCTGGCTTCATGATGGGCTGGAGCAGCACGCGGCCGCCGCGCTGGTTCTGGAACTTCATTAGCTTCTCGGCATGCTCGCGCTCCTCGTCTGACTGCTTCTTGAAGTAGGCGTGGAAGCCCGGGAAGGCCACGTCGTCACGGTCGAAGTAGGACGCCTGGGGGAGCAGAGACGGTGTCAGGGTGTGAGACAGAAGTTTCGTGTTCGGCTCGCGAACGACACGTGTTGGGTGTCCGAGTCGGAGCGAACCCGGTTGTCATCGAACACTGGGGGAGTCGCGTTACATCCTGCCGAGATTTCGGAACATTCCGCTGTCGATGGTGTGCCCACTGCCCACAGATCAACATTAGAACTAGAAAACCGCAAAGGGCCACGCGTTCGATTCTTTCCCTGATGGCCGATACACCGTCGCATGCGCAATACCGATCTTCCGATACGGCTGGGATTTTCCCTGGTCCTACCCCTGCAGATCCACCAGATAGGTTCTCGGATGTCACATTCTCTCCCGCCCTGCGCTAATCGGTTCCATACGGACCGGTTTTGCCGACCCCAGTCAGTCCGGTCGCCTGCTGAGGGTGACCGGCTGAGACCGTTTTCCGCCGGTCGGTTGGCAAAGGCCGGCCGGGCGGGCCGCGTGGCGCAGCAGGCGGCTCAGCCGTGCGCAGCGGCACGGCATTGATCGGCCCACGGCGGCCATAAGCGCTCCCCAAGGACAGAGGCAGCCACAAGGCACGATACACCTCATCGGCTCCTGACAGTGACGAGCAAGGCCTACAGCTGGAGAAAAGCTGTTTAATAATGATACTGGAAACAAGATTGAACGCCTCTCACCATGGACATGTAGGTGTAGCTGGCAAACAGCTCCATGTTGATCTGTTTGTTGACCCCGGCCTCGGAGTCCTCGTGGTAGTTCTGGCGGCACTGGCTGACGGTGGCCATGGTGTTCTACTGGGTTGTGACTGCTTCTGATGGAAGGCTGAACTACGCTGTCACAGGCTGGACGGCTGAAAAGAGGTGGCGGAATAGCACGGCTGCTCGGACGTACACTGACGACGCGAAACAGACTGGCGCGCCGCCGCTCGGCGTCCCCTATTTATACCTGCGGTCATGACGTCATCCCGGCGGCTCCTGATTGGCTGCCCCGGGGCTGGTCGGCCCTGGTTGGTCAACACGGCGGGCGGAGGGCAGCGCTGCCAGGTCGGAGGAGCTTCTGCAGATTCACTTCCTGAGAAGTTTCCACTCGGGATTTCCCACTAAATCCAAAGTTTCAAAGGTTTCTCTGAGAACCATTTATCAGTGCAAAACGTCTTCCACTAGGCATGATTAGAGCTGGTTCGGTCTGGAAGGCATAACTTTGGACCCGATGGCATGTCCGACCTCGCTGCGGCTGATTGATCCCCAGTGTGGGTGCCACTGATATAAATCTCACACAATGCAACGCACAATGGCAGTCCTATAGTTAGACAACATGCACAGTGCACAAAAATCGCGACGGATGCGGGTCCCGAGATTGCTCTCCTCATGCTTTCCCTGTGTACATTTTCGCTAGCTCTGCGACAATCACGCCGATATGTCTCCAGATCTAGCGACCGCCCCCGACGTCCGACCTGGCAGCGCGGCTGGACCACGCGGTGAGGTGCGTCATAGCCGCGGGCGGGCCGAGACCGCCCCGAGGAAAACGCCCAGTCATCGTGAGCGGTGCGTGTTGCGTAGCACGGGTCAGCCGCGGCACGGGATGCGTCTGGAACGTCACAGACGGGCACTGCAACACGAGCGGAGACACGTAACGGCACGGGGAAATGACCGACAGTGGATGGAATACCGAGACACGACTAAAGGAGGAGTAACGCAATGAGGATCGTACTTCCCGGAGCGCGCATTTGCGATGTTGTAACTTCTGATGAAGAAACAGGGCCATGACCACAGGAAATGACGGTGTTTAGTCATACAAGGCTGATCGTACATCACGATACCTCGGCATCCGACGCGTCATTTGCCATGATTTGAACACATGTGCTCGACATATGGGAGGGCTCATCCGTATGACACCGCCAAACAACGTTTATCGAAGCCACTGTCACTTTTGTCGCACTATTATCTACGTTATTGGAAATGATACTGAGATACGACGTGCATCCCCAGAGGACTTCATGGAAACCTGTCGATGGTTGACGACTCCCGTTTCACGCTCAGCGTGCATCGCTCGGCCGTCACCGGGAACGGCGCAGTCGCGTCTGTCCTTCAGAGGTGACCTTTACATTATCTACGCCACACAGCACGGACTACTACACGCACGTGTATTTCAGCGCGCCGGACTGGAATACCAATGACATGGTAGTGCGGTCACTGACATGGATCTGCGTACCCACAGCGTAAAAAAGCAATCACCCTGAACATAACTAAACCACGCCGCAGAGGACGTGGTAACACAATAAGACAAATGATGTCGCCGATGATATGTGAAGAACAGTGGATATCACAGCGGTCTAAACCGCGCAGAGCTTCACACATGCCACTGGTGACTAGATCATTACCAACCAATCCTCCACCTCTACCCACGTCAGCACTGGTGAGCTAGTTCCGTAGATAGATCGACCATCACTTTAGTATGACACATCGGAACAAATACGCGTGCAGCGTGAGAAATGGCTACGAACGAACACTATTACAGAGTTCAATCGAATTCATGGCTAGCCAGAATGACGGGATCTCTGGCTCACGAAAGTCGCTTTCAATTACATCAAAGTTCAAACACATATGAGCCAGCTGAAATGGAAGCGATTTTCAGGGCAAATCTAACGGAAAAATGATGATCTGAAACTTTGAGGAGCTCTTATCATGCTTCCGAGAATGCAATAGAATGCTTCCTAACATCTAAAGCCCCATAATCAATTAAATAATCGAGGAAAGACCTACCGTGACCTAACAGTCTTTACACTAATAGTGGCATTGAAAAGATTAAAATTTTGAGTTTAACACGTAAAGAAGTCATGCGTAAGCTGAAATACACCTATTCGTAAACCTGGTACAGATTGGGGTGAGATTGTAAGAAGTAATCGTCGCAAAAACCCGGCCCCTGTAATACGGAATGACACTTCTCAAGTTAAAAAGTTAAGCTACACGATAAATGCACTCGAGAGAGACAAACATGACAGCCTCACGCAAACTGCGGCACAATGGGTCACAAGACGCCCCGAATGAGAAACTGGGAGTCCCTTGGCGTTGCTGTCTCTCGGAAAGGAACGGATGTCGTCACTGGACACGTGACCCGACTTCCCCGTCTCTGCCCCGGAACTCGGCTATCGGCCACAGTCCATCCGCTGTCTGTGGTAATGCCACACCACCACCCACGATGGCCACTTTCCCGCCGGACGGCTTCAATACTGCTTCAGACACTGCGATAAATACACAAAACACACCGGAACGAAAACCTCACCCCGATGCACTCCCAGTTCGTTCCCATACCTGTGATTCTATTTGCACCCCGTGGCAAAGTCCGGAAGGCAGGGGGTGCGTCACCTCGTTCACCGCGTCTCACAAGCTTTTCACCGCCAGACGAACGTCGAGCTTCGCGCTGTGATCGGCCAGCGTGCGCCGCATCTGCGCCGCGAACTGGTCCCGAATGGAGCCGAACTCCATAATATCGCGCGGCTTAGCCGCCAGCCAGAAGGCGTCGAACTTGAAGAAGAGGTAGCAGTAGAACCGGTGGAAGGCGGTGACGGTAGCGTGTCCCGCGCAGGCGTTGTAGAAGTGCGAGCGCGCCTGTCCGGAGCGGACCAGCTGCAGCGCCAGGTGCGTCAGGTTGATGCCGACGATGGCGAACGAGTAGCCGTAGGTGGGGTGGTGTGAGTGCGTCAGCACGTGACGCGCCACCGACGTGTAGTGCTTGCTGAAGAACCTGGGACACACAGAGGAGGGACGGGGATGGTCACACGGCGTCACTGACATCCACGCACTTTTACACTCGATGTTGCGGAATTTACATGCAATGCGGCAGACGGCCGTGCTGACGTTCGCACCAGTCTCACTAGTGTCTGTCCAGAAAAAAATCGCACAGGTCACGTCGGGTCAAGTCAGGTCAGGTCACTGCTTTTATCCCAAACCCTTCTAAACACCAACATCTAGCGTGACCTTCGATGGCCGTGACTTTGTCCCAAACATGGCCTTATATCGCCTGTGCTGGATTCTTGGACTTAAGACTGTGTCATTCTCATTCGACTTATCGTCGGGTCCTAAATTCATCGAATACAAGGTTTCACTCGAATTGTTCTAGCGAAATTGGCTCGAAATCACTAGCTAAATAAACATCACGTCACCGTTGGCAAACGGCCGAATTCATTACAGTTTACGATATGTGGGGACCGGTCAGGGCCATTGGCCAATAGTAAACGATCTTTGTCCGGTGGCGAAGGCCGACGAGTCACACCACACACATGTGGTCAGCAGCCCGTGGGGACGGGGACACAGGCTCCTCTCGCACACATGTGGTCGGTGGCACGCGGAATGGGGGGGGGGGGGGGGCTGGCTCCACACATACACACGTGGTCTGGTCGGTAGCCCGTGGGGATGGGGACACGATCCCTCTGTACACACCTGTTGGTTGTCCTATGATATGCTGTTCTTGCTGGTTACGAAATTCCTGCGTTTTAGTCATCTGTTTTTGATGTAAAGGTAGAAAAATCAGCGAAAATCCTTAAAGGACAACCAATGTCTATAACAGCTGTTGACCAATATCATCTCGTAACCAAAAAAGGCATTGCTAAAAATGAGAGGAAATGAAGCAAACAAACAAATCAAGAGGAGACTACGGGTGCTATTACTGTATAATTGGCTAAAGGAAAACCAATAAGCTAATGAACATTGTAGTGTTAATTCGGAATTAGGAAGTTCGTGACAATTGTTGTAGTGTTAATTCGGAATTAGGAAGTTCGTGACAATTGTTATGTTGCCATGGCAACCAGATCAAGGAGCCTGCAGCCGATTCGCGTTGGCGCACTAAGGCCCTAGTGACACTTGATTTCAAGTGTCACTAGACGATTTCGGTTTGCGCTGAGCCACTAGCCGATTGGTGTAAAATGCCGCTTAGTGTCACTACCATCAAGTGTCACTTGGCCGCCTAGTCTTACTAGCTTCCTAGTGCGCCATCTCGAATCGGCCCCAGACTTATTGATGTGTTGGTGATCTCTGATTGGCTAGGCCCTAGAATTCAGGGTTTTTGCCGAAGGGGATTGGTGGAGAGGGCATAAGATCGGGGATCACTGGCAGCAAGGCAGCAACGGCCTTGGGCAGCAGTGCGGTGGGAGCAGCGAAGGGGAACGGCAGGTCGGGGAGTCCAGGGATGGAATGGTGTCGTTATTGGGGAGTTCCAGCCCTCTGTGAAGTGCGACTACTTTTGTGTTAACATCGCTTGATATTGACAATAATATCTATCTTTTATCTAACTGGCTGTGAAATCGACCACAAGCTATTTCGGCTTTACAATGGCAGTGAGAATTGGTGATGCCGGAACAGGGGGCGGAGATTTGGATCTGCGTTTGGTACCAGAATTCGATGGAGTTTCTCAAGACATCGCTGAATGGATAGATAAATTGGAGCTGGTGTGCCGTCTGAAAGGAGTGGAAAGCCAGGAGAGCCTCATTCCTCTGCGACTCACAGGAGGTGCATTCAGCGTGTACAGTAGGTCTACAAAAAAAGTCCCCCGCTCCAGAGGCGGCCGGCCGGCCGAACCCCCGGATTCCAGCCCCGACTCTATTGCGCAGGCCGCGGCAGCGACACGGGTCAGGTCGCGGCGCCCGGCGAGTGGGTCAGTTGGCGGCGGCCGGCCGTGGAGTGAGGACGCCGTGTGTGGGGCGCAGAGATGCCGCAGTGCAGAGGAGGGGAAGATAGTGACTCTGCACGATGCCGGAAATGATGCCTTTGTGATCTAAATTAAACACCCGCAGACGCAGTGCATATCCTCCCTCGCCCCATTCCTATTTTATCATAACCCTTCAATAATCCGTAATGACCATTCAACGCAAGCAAGCAAACAAAACAACCCGTTTAGCGGCGACATCATCTCGGATAAAAAGCGACAGTAATGATTAAAATAGACATAGCGCGAGAGCAAATCGAGGGGTATATAATTATATGTGTCACATACCCAGCATTTTATTCTCATCTAGCAAATCAAGATTGGGGATCTTGTCCAACAGGTCAGCGGCCGTTCTAGACACAGACAAATGCTTTGTTTTCGGTCGCATCATTATCTGCAATAATTCGAAGCGAGGTTTAACCCTCGCCGGCCGAGAAGAAGGGGTGAATGCCGCCACCATGTATTTTTTTTTGCGGTAGCTCAAAGCACACTGATGATAGAAGGCTGACATTTCATATGCCTTGCATTTGATTCACGCCGGATCATTTGACATCAACCACGTTTTCAGGTCAGGTCACTTAACCATGGCGTCTTAACCCTCGCCGGCCGAGGGGGGGGGGGGGGGCAATAGGGGTTTTTCGCGATAGCTCCGAACACGCTGGCGATAGAAAGCTGAAACATGGCATACCTGACCTTTGATTCAAGCCGGATCTTTTGACACCAACCGCATTTTTGGGTCAGGTCAGGTCACTGACCTATGGCGTCATAAGTGAGCCTTTGCACGGTCTTCAGATGTCGCAACTTCGCAACGCCCTCACTGCCAGAGGAGATGTCACAGGGAAATGAAACTTGCAGGATCTAGTATCCATTATGAGTCTCACAGCTTGTTTATCTCGGATTTTTCCTCAAGGTCATATGAGGTCAGGTCATTTTCGTAACCTCACCATTAGGTATAAGTCAATGGGGGAAAAATGAAAACTGCTATTCTGGCGCCGGGAACGATCTCCAACTACCTCAAGCACACAGAATCGTGATTTGATGCACTCCTTGCAAGGTTAGATGCGTCACTTTTGCAATGTTGACCTTGCGTGGCGTCATTTATGACGTCATCAAGGTCATATTAGTTTCTCGTCAATAACTCTTGAACAAATTAAGCTAGCGAGTCGGGAAAGGCACCAATGGACTCAAGAAGACTTGCCGAATCGAATGATATGCGACATGACCTCTTTCGACCAACTTCGTGACCTGGGGGTGCTGACCTGACCTTGACCTGAGCTCAACACCCCAAGTTGACCTGACTCGGACAAAAAGTATATCATTCGACGCGCCTGAGCAAGGCGAACACGATGCTGCCAAAATCGCGGCTCTGCGGCCGTTTTTGCGAAGTTATTCACCAAAAACTGAACCGTACCTTGGGGCACTTGACCTGACCTCAGAGATCACCGGTTGACATAGGACCTTAAAATCGGGTACCAATCTCTGCGTCTCGTAACGGCGCACACGCTCGTTTTTTCCGCGACGCGCTAGCTTCACCTGGGGCGAAACGGCGAGGGGGGGGGTCGTACCCGCCCCCCCCCCCTCGGTCGGCGCGTATGTAGAAAACCAATAGGCCTGGCGAGGGTTAAGTAAACCTCTGCACGGTTGTCGGTTATAAAATGATGCAAATCCGAAATGCACTTAGTGTCAAGCATAATGGAGAAATATGGAAACTGTTAATTTGGCGTCGAAAATGATCTAAAATTACACCTCAAGCACTTCAAATCGTGACTTCATACATTCTTGGCAAGGTCTAATGCTTCACTTTTGCTTTGCTCACCTTGCGTGACGTCATTTATGACGTCACTAGGGTGATAGAAGTGCTTCGTCAATAACTCCCGATCAAAATGAGCTAGCCAGTCGGGACAGCCATCTTTGGACTTTGCAAGACTTGCCGAATCAAATGTTATGCAACATGTCCTCCTTTCAACAGCTTCGTGACCTGTGTTGTCGTAACATGACATTGACCTCAGGTAAACATTCTAAATTGCTTCACCTAAACAAAAAAAAACATATAAATCGACTCGTCTGAGAACAGAAAACACGATTGTATCAAAATGACGATAATGCGACCATTTTTGCGAATTATTACCAAAAACCGATCGACTGCCTTGGGGCCCTTGACCTGCCCTAAGAGGTCACTGATATTTTAAAATGGGGTACCAGTCGCTGCGTCACGTAACGAAGCAAGCGCTCGTTTTTTTCCGCGAGGCTCTAGCAGCTAGCTCAATTATAGAAGCCAAACATGGGGTTGGGGGATCGCTCCCTTCTCACTCACTATTTGGCCGGGATAGTGTTTGCAATTGTTGTTAAAATCTAGCATTTTCAGATTTCAAATAACCCATTTTTTCCCGCCCAAGTCTTTCAATTCAAGGTCATAACACCAGGTCACGTCAAGTAACCTTACCTCAAGGAAAGTTCCTGTGCTCATCATATCTAAATACACCGACTAACCGATCGCTTTAGAACTTTCAGCGATTTCAATGGGCAACACTTATATGTATTTGAAACGTTTACTTTGCAAGTTGGACATTGTTGACAGAAAGGCCGGGTCAATTTTGAGATCGCTCAAGTCAATGGGAGAAAATTGAACTGCGCTTTTTTTGGACGGAACGCATAATAAACACTCCGGAAACATGTGGTGCTTGATGGGATACAATACTGAATGAGAAAATTGTTTGTTTTGTTGGGAGCCATCTTTTTCAGTCTGAAAAGGCCCTTGCAGAGCTATGACATAACTATGCTGGTGTAGTAATTGGGCTGTGCGAGCCAGCGACAGTGATCTGCGGAAGCGAGACTGTTCCCTTGGGACGATTGCCCTGTCGGGACGGTCCAGCCGTCTCCCAAACGGTCACCCGAACAGGATTATGTGTCCTTAAATGGATCCGACATCAACTACAGGTTGGCTGGTGGGGTGACCTCCAGTCCAGAGAGGGAAGCATGAAGTCTAGGGGCGATACGGATTGTTTTTTCCTGAGGATAGCGAGGACGGAAGGGATCTAGCACTC